AAAGGTGGCGAAATACCAAAATGAGGTTGATATGATGATGGGAAGCCTTTGTTTGGGATTTTGATCATTATGATATCCAATTATAGCTGTAAGGCACAGAGAGAATCTGCACATCTTTTAAAACAACCTACTCATTGTGCCTTTTTAAGGTTACTAATTTGAAAGGCTGCAATTGATAAAACCATTTTTTTTTTTAAATGTATTTTTAGATTTACAAGCGTTGTCAAATACATTAGAAATTATTCCTAATTTTTCTGTAAATATTCTTTAAAGCTTAAGTTGTTTTATGTTTAAATACACCAGAGTTTTTGTCAAACTCTGGTGTATTTATTGCTTTGAAGTTTGAATATATATTACAATCATTATTTTTTGAGCTATGTTGAACCTACTGTTCACACCGGTACCGTCTCTCAATAAATATAGTTGCAATTCAATTGACACTGTTTATACGCAAATATCTTCTTTGGTTACCTTTTTTGTGGTGTTAAACTTTGATTATAACTCTAAAAACATTGTTATACGTCATGCCATAGTTTGAAGCTGTCATGGTGTTAAATATTGTATGTTTTATTTTCTTAAAGTAGTGACTAAAGTCTTTTATCTGCATGAGTTCACCCTCCTCTGTGTTCTCTTGTGCAGACTACTGGGGCAGTAATGGGCGGAGGGAGTCCCAGGGCTCCTTGTCGTCCGGTACCAGTCTGGAGATGGCCACTTCCTGCTCTGCTGGGAAGATCGAGGTAAGATTCCTCTGGACAAATCACTATGGCAACACAGAGCCCAGTGTCTGGTACAGCTATCATATTAGGCCTGAGTAATTGTTTTTTACTTGTCAGCCCACTCATAGTTAACGGGTGGCATAAATTACAACTGAAGCCGTGTATATAGGCAGTTTCACACCGGAGTACTTTTCCCCAAACTTTTCCCATTTAGTTCCGATAGTTCCTGGGATTTTGCGTTCACACCAAAAAGAGAACTTAGTTCATGAGAACTTTTACCTTAGTGCCAGTACCTCATTCACACCAACGCAACTCCTGTTCAAGCTCCGTGCTAGAGCTTTTCAGGTTCAGAACCGGTTCTTCGGTTTAGCTCCGGTCTTTTAGAACATCACAGAGTCCGACTGGTGCTGCGTCATCGTTTGCGTGCCTGCTTCATAAAGCCAAACCGCGCGGAAACCCCTCACAGCTGACACCAACAACAACAACAATGGCCGATTGTGCTCCAGCTTCCTCTGTACCTCTTCGGAAGACCAGATTCCCAGTAGGTAGCTGGTCTCTTCAGTGGACCACTGCTGCTTGTTAAGTTTCTCCATCGTTGTGTACAAACTGGATAAAACGCCGGCTTTTTGTTGTTGTTCAGGAGTTGATCCCGCCCCTGCCCCTGCCCCTGCCCCTGCCCCTGCCCCTGCCCCCGCCTCGACGTAAGCGTGACGTATGTGGTGCTTTTGCTCCATCTCCGAACCGGCCCTGAAACACCGTTGGTGTGAATGAGGTACTGGAGAGGTGATACTTTAATGGGGAGAAAAAAGTTCCAATTTCTGATTGGCTGGGCGAATTGCAAACCAAGCCCCGTAAAACTCTGAAAAGTTTTGTGAAGCATTAGCATTATTAGCATTAGCATTAGCCCCGCGCACCAACGGAGAGAGAGTAAGTTATGGCAACACAAAAAAAAAACAGTGCTGGGAACTAAGTATGGCAAAGTACTTGGTTTGAAAGCGGCTTTTGTAACACTTCCAGTCCTTTTAATGAAGCCTCCTTTTGTCTATCTTCTTTAGGCTGATAATCGCCACTCAGTATGGGAGCGCTCCCCCAAACACTGCAGCGTGGTGCTGCCCGATGGCTCCTGCTCTCCCATCAGTCTCCGGCCCGGGGCCTCCATAAGGGACGTCCTCCACGACCTCTGTCAGAGCATCAACATCAACATCGCTGCTGTGGACCTCTTCCTGGTGGGAGGAGAGAAGGTAAGACAATCATTTACTGATGAATGCTGGAAACTTGCTGCTAATAGATCAGCAAACAGAGCTCTCAGGCAAGCTCCTCATGCAATCACTGAGTCAACCCTTTGTTTGCGATGAACCAAGCTAATAAAACAATGTATTTTCTTGTGAGTAGTCATTGTTGGAACTTAATTGGAAAAAGCTTAATTTAACCAAAGACACTAAAACAGATGAAGTCATTTGTTTACTGTGTTGTAGAGTTTACGGTAAGGAGTGCTCTGGGTTTGTTGCTTTTTTGTGTTTTTTAATGTTTTTTAATGTTGCTTTTTTCCTCACAGCCTTTGGTGTTGGACCAAGACTGTATGACCCTCAGCTCCCGAGAATTAAGAGTGGAGAAGCGGACGTTGTTTAGGTATGTTCCTTAAACATTTCCTTTGATTTGTCAATTTCCTTTAAAGAGCTCTTCACACATTAATTTACATTGGTTTTGCAAACATAACAAGACAAGAAAACAAGAAATACCCGATCCAGGAAGACCAATACAGGCATGCTAATATTATTAATAGTATGACACAACCTGAATCTTTTTAAATAATAATGATCGGAAAACTACATTTTACAAATAATAAGTTAATCATTTAGAAATACAATTAAATCCATGCCTACTTCCCTCCCTTAAAAGAATTATATTAAACATGTATTGGTCGTCATGATAAGAAAACAGCTGGAGGGGTTATAAGGTCAAAAAGGATTAATATTTTACTAGTTTCACCTTCGTCTAAAGAAGGGTACAAGGGAGCGTTGTACAAAGGAAAAAGAAATCTATTGATCCTTGATATTCTATTCTTCTCTAAATGCCTCGGCCAGGTCTCAAACTGGGGTGCTGCGTCCGATTTCCATGGTTTCTCTTCTTGCCAATAAATATCACTTTCTCACTGTGTGCTTTTATGTCGCCGCTGACATTTACCCGTGCTCTTTCTGTGCTCCTAGATTGGACCTGGTCCCCATTAACCGCTCCGTGGGTCTGAAGGCCAAACCTACCAAACCCGTCACTGAGGTCCTGCGTCCCGTAGTGGCCAAATATGGCCTCCACCTCAGCGATCTCGTGGCCAAAATAGTAAGTCGCCCCCGGTGGCTACAATGCCTTCATGTTTATTTGAAGCTCCTGTGTGTGTGTGTTCAGCATCTTGTGCAGTGTGTGACGGTGCCACAGGGTGGAGTATCATGGTCAGGGGAAGGAAGCGACCGCATCCTTTTCCATCTCTACACGGTGGTTAGCGCTGTGACTCAGTCCCCGAAGATGGAGCAGCAGGGCTATAATTACAAATGACGACACTCCTCAAACATGCCAACTCTTTTTAGTCCTCCCCTCAACTCCTGCCAGAGGATGTATTTTAGTCCTTTGGGTTTCTAGGCATTATAACTCTATTATACAGTAGCCTGAAATACGGTTTATACATTCAGCTTGTGAACTCAATTACAGCCAAAACAAATTGAGACATACTTAGCCATAAGGTGTTAACCATTAAATATGACTTTCTTTCAGAGTGGAGAAACTGAGCCTTTGGACCTAGGCGCCCCCATATCCAGTTTGGATGGCCTGCGAGTTGTTTTGGAGAGGGTTGATCCAGCTGCAGGGAAAGGTGAGACCATCAAACAAGAATACAAAAAATGACCAAAAATAAGAATTCATTTTTATTTCAAATGTAAAGAGAAGATGTGATGGGATGGACACCAGAAGTTTTACTTTTTTCGACTTGTTTACTTGCTTTCATATTCAAAAAGGTTTTTATTTGTCTCATACTGCCTGTGTTACAGCACCTCTTTTCCCCCTCTGTCTGAAACCAGTCTGCTCTGATTCGTTAGCTGGCCAACTCTAGTGTGATTGGCCAACTTAGAGATGTCCCTCCTATCACTTAAAATGTGTTGGAGCGCTAGCCAATAACAGCGCGAGTGATACATAGTGATGTCACTATGTTACGGAAGTAAACATAGGAGACCAATGGAGGCGTTTCAGGCAGGGGGCGGGGGGTGGAGTGTGTAGAGATCATGCAATTTTATTATTTGTTTATTGATTGTTATGAACCTGTCTTGAGGACCACAGATGGAAATGAGCTATTAGCTATAATCTGGCATATTGCATCTCTTCTCTTTGCTGAGATTCATGTTTTTGTATGCATGGTCCTTCTATAAGTAAATACAAATAAAAAAATATTAGCCTTTGCAGACCATTGAAATGCACAAAAACCTTTATAACACACTACAGCAAAAGGGAAACCCCAAAAAGCACAATCTGGCACCCTTAACTTCTGTATGTATAACATGTCTTTTATTCTCTCTGTCTTTGTTTCAAGCAGATAAATCCAAGTCTTCCTCCCTAAAGAACCTCCCTCCCTCCAGAAGTTTTTCTGCTGCTGTGAGTACCTACAATATCTTTTTTCTCACGTCGCTTCAAATGTCGGGATGTGGTGATTTGTCCTTTTCTACTGCTGCTCTGCTTCTGCTCCTTTAAGCCTCATCAATCAGCGGGCCAGTGCACTCACATTTACACTTTTCAACAAGCTTTACATTGGTGTGCACTTCCTGATTTGTTTGTATTCTTCGCCCTAACACCGCCCGTGGCTGACTCACCCGCTCGTATTCTCCATGCTTGAGCTATTATGAAGAAAGATAGGACTCCGTATCGATGTTAGCATGGCCAGAAAAAGGCTCCGACAGACGGACAAGGTTCATTCAATCTGGACGTTCTGCTTCAGCCCGTGCTTAGCCTGCCCCCCACTCCTTACGAAACCCTCCTCCCCCCCACTCCATCCCCTAACAGAGTGCATTGTTATTGTTGCATCTGCAGGGAGATGAGAGGTCAACACCAAAGGACTTTTCTGTGAAAGCGAGTGGACCAGACTCAGCACTCCCAGGGGAAAAGAGAAAACAGAAAAAGATTAATATAGATGAAGCTGAAGGTAAATCCCTCTCTTCCTTCTTCTTCTTCTCTTTTTGATGTTTTTGTGGTGGATTTCTTAGCTTTTGCTTTGCCTCTGGACTAGGGTTATTTTCTCTGTCAGGTGTGAGGCCGCTATGCTGCATGTTAAACTTTGACTAATATTTTCTTCCAGGATTGAACATATTCGGAAGGAGTTAAAGTGATTCTTTTTGGTTTTGTTGCAGAATTCTTTGAGCTCCTGAGCCGGGCGCAGAGCACCCGAGCCAACGACCAGCGCGGCCTCCTGAACAAAAACGACCTGGTGCTTCCCGACTTCCTGCGTCTCACCCCGGCCATCTCCTGCTCCACTCCAGACTCCAAGAAACAGAGCCGGGAGAACGGTGTCTCCTCCAGAGTGGCTCTCAGCGCCAGCCTGCGCTCCGAGAGCCTCGACTCCTCCCTCAGCTCCAGCGCCAACGGACACTCCGCGACGAGGCGGTGCCTGATGCCGCCCACGCGCCACGCCACCTTCGGCACCCACCTGTCCCCCATCCCGCGGCCCTCGGACACCCGGCCCAGCCTCCGCACCGTGGAGGAGGACACCAACAGCGACCTGACCCTGGTGGGGGAGGGCCACATCAGCAGCCCCAACAGCACCCTGCTGCCCTCGTTGTCGTCCCCCATGCCGTCCTTCAACAGCAGCCTGCCAGAACCCAACTTCACCCCCCCACCGCCCTGCCCCCAGCCTCAAGACGCAGGCGGAGAGTCCACTTCAGGTATTTCGACAGTGTAACCCAACCAGTGTGTTTGCGTGTGTGTCGTATGTGCGTGTGCGTTCCCTCCACAGTGGTCCAAACCCGACCACTTTAACGGTAACACTCCCTCTACACTGACTCTGATGCACTTTAATGACAAATTGTCAGTTTGCCATTCCTTTAAGAAAACTGTTTTTCATAAAGTTAGCAAAGCATGTGTGTAAATAGTGATGTGTATATTTTGTTCAGCGAGTACCTGGAAGTCACTTCCAACTGTTGCGTCAGTTCATTCCAGTAATACATTTAGTTTATTTTGGGTGCATGAGGATGGTGATTGCAGAGATAATGAATATGAATAATACATGCATAGTGCATACAGACTACCAATCAATATTTGAAAGTCAGTGAATGCTGTGGTGGAGTCCATTGAAAGTGAGATTGGCAGCTGTGTTTCCTGCCATCATGGGTTCATCATGTACAATTAGAAACCATCGTAGCCAAGTAGACCCATGAAACTGTTTGACAGCATTACAACAGTCATCACTAAACAAATGCTGTGCTCCTCTCCATCCCACCACGTTCATTTCAGAGCAATCCAACAATGTCAGACCCTCGGAAATCCGGTGAGTCATTACCAAGGTGTCGTCTCCAGCTGCAGCCGTTTGAGCAAACGGTGAACATAATTATTCACCGAGAGGACAAGTGCTCCTTAGCGCTGGTGACATTGTTGGATTGCCTGTCACTCTTTCCCCCCGGGTCCCCTCTTTAGACACCTGTTGTAGATAATCACTGCCAATGATCTCTGTACCTGTGATTTGAGTCGATCTAATAAATGTTAGAATTGGAAATCACTCTCGTCTGTCTTTTTACACGTTTGTGAGTTTTCTCTCTCTCACCACCACCTCCACAACCTTTTCCCGCCTCCGCATGCCCCCCCACCCCCTCCTCTTCTCTGTAGCTTCGTCTCCTTTTCTCTCGTGGCTTCCTCCTCTCATCAGCTCCCACTCCTTTGTGTACTTTTCTCTGTGCGCGCGTCTCAGGGTGTCGCTGTGTGTGTTCTGTGTTGGTGAAACACTGCTTGGTGTGTTGTTGCTTCACGGGCTCTGTTGTGTGTAGCTTTAGCGTGGATCTTTTGTTGTGTTGTGCTTGAGTGTTGGCTCATAGTGTACAGCTCACCTGCAGATGGATTTCATTTTTCTATTCCCCCTCCGTGTCTTTGNGGCACAGAGAGAATCTGCACATCTTGAAAGGCTGCAATTGATAAAACCATTAATGTATTTGACAACGCTTGTAAATCTAAAAATACATTTAAAAAAAAAAATGGTTTTATCAATTGCAGCCTTTCAAGATGTGCAGATTCTCTCTGTGCCTTACAGCTATAATTGGATATCATAATGATCAAAATCCCAAACAAAGGCTTCCCATCATCATATCAACCTCATTTTGGTATTTCGCCACCTTTAAACACTGGCCCTTTGTTGATAGCACTAGAGTCAAAATGCTGTCAAAAGGTGTTTTTGGGTACATGCGCTGCGTGTGTAATACTTTGATGACTGCGGGCAAGCTGTGTTTCAACATCCCTCCCCCGCATGTAGCTCATGGCAACCCCGGAGCTGGCATCAAATTGGTGTGTTTTTCAAGGACACATCAGCTCTTTGGAAGTGTTGCGAAAGCTTGTGGAAAACTTTTTTTTTTTACCAGTGTTCTTGTTTATCCATTCCATACCCAGGTTTATGTCTCCTATGTCCTTCTTCTTGGGGCCCTTTCCAAAGCTCCTGTTGCGGGACCACGAGAAGAAGCCGCGTTTCTTATCGGCGCTCTCATCCTTGTCTTCGGTGAGTGACCTCCCTGACCTCTGCTTTCTGGCCTCCTATTGGTTGGAGAACATAAAAGGAAGATGTAACCAGCTGTAAAGGACTGTCAACAAAGCTGTTACTCCATGATTTATTCTAGTGATACAGCTTAAAAGGTCAGTGTTACCTTTTTGGGAGTGGAGAGGGAGGAGCGGTCCGAGCTGGCGCTGTGTTTAGAGGGCGCAGGACTGCAGGGAATCTGGTAAGGGTCCGGCAGAGATCGGCCATCCACCTCGGCACGCATGCACTCTTGGTAAAGGGAGGACTTGAGGAATCGGGAATAACTGTCAAACTTCATCAAATTAAAGATCTGTAGAAGAAAAAGGGCGGTTTTTAAAAACAGTGGTGGAATGAAAGAGGTGAGATACACAAAGAGGCATGTAGGGTCAAAAATAAAAGAGTGAGGAAGAGTAAATTAAACAAAAGAGAAGAAACTACCGGTGGTAACGTATGGTTACCGCTCATGTTATGACAGGTGTCTCAACACTTTTAAATGCTCATGTCCAGCCTGGAAATATACACATGCATGTCTATGTGTCTGTGTGTACAGTATGCGCTTGCTTCTCAGTGGGCGTATGCCAGTTTGTGTTTATTTCTCTGGTAAAGGCTCCGCGCCCTTTCGTAAACAAACCCAGATGGCCATCGAGAAAAGCCAATATGGTTATGCAGAGTGACTAAAGGCGAGAGGAGAACGGAACCCCCTACTGTCAAGGAAAATGACCGGATATTCACGGTGATGCTGAGCAAGCAAATCATGAGAATAATAGAAATCAGAAATCAAACTAATATTATGAAATGCTGAGGGTCAGTTTTTAGGCTTCTATTGAGGGTTTGAATGTCTGCCGTCATATTTTATGATGGCAATACATTTAATAGGAATAACTATGAATCAACCAAAAACTGGGGCTTCGATTTTTTAATTATTTTTTAAGTTTAATATTTTATGAATTCATCACCCTCTTCGTTTTTAGTGAAATGGTTTGTCTTTTTGGATTTAATAAACTTTTTTTTTATGAATAACATTTCGCCAAAGTGTGCACTTAGCAGTTATTAAAAGTTAACCGTTTTTTGACCGCAGTACTCAGAAAGGCTTAATGCTTTGTGTTAGATTTAAAGGTATTATGAATTTCGGAAATTATAGCATTTATCTTTTTCAATGAATTTGACTTTTGGACTCCCCATTGCTGTGGAGTTATTGTAAACGTTTGGATCACACAGATTGGAATCAATCCTATTTTGCAACTTAACAAATAGTACAATATCGGTATTATGCTTCAATAATAACAGTATAACACTGATAGCATTAGTCTAGCCCTTCTTAATCAGCAACTTGGCTGAAACAGTATACACAAACACAATGAATGTCATGCAGAACCAAAATGAATATCTTATTTAGATTTATGACTTTCAACATGTTGAGAGCAGCCTTGATTCAGCTCTTCCCTACCAAAGACATGACGTGTTGAAGCAACATGTTATTTGCAGAGACGAGCTCACTACAACTTCTACTCTCGTTGTGTCTGTACCTGTAGCTGCTGCGTCTTGAACATGTCGGGCCGCGGGGAGGTGAGGACGTCGTCGGCCAGCTGGGCCTGGCTGTCGATGTTGACCGGCATGGTGGCCTTGCTGGACAGGAAGCTGTTGTAGATCTCTCCGGCTCTCTGAGACAGCTGCAGGACAGAGGGCGGACGATGCATTAGAGCCAAGATGTATTTCACATAAAATAATAGCATCATTTCATTATTGTTGGAAGGTGGGACTCATAAGGGTCACAAAATAAATGTACAGGGTCAAGAGAGAATGTTTATGTACAGAATTCAAAATGTAAATGTTTTTTAAATGCAACCAGGAAGTGGGATTTGTATCTTATGCGGAGAAGCAGGACAGAGTCTAAAAACGTTCTTACAGGGACAGTAAAGTATATTGTATTGTATCATATCAAAGACTTCTATACAAAATGATTTATTATATATATTGGCTTTAGGTATAGATGATAGGTTTACCCCCCTTTTATCTTACCTCATTTGATTAAGGAACAACAGTATGATATCTATTCTGTTCGTAGAGGTGATACTCAATTTTGTGTTACGTCGATATAGGACAAAAAAGATAGGAGTGTTTCCAATCAGTCTACATGTCTTAGTCAGTGGGTTTAGCTTCACACACTAGACTTACCTGCTTTTTATCAGCTGCAGGGACATGACTGAAGTATTCACAGGCCTGCCAGAACAAGATATTCTCCTCACTGAATTCTTTCTTGAGAAATTCCTGTGGAGAGAAACAGAAGGAGTCTTAATACGATCCCAAACCGGTGATCATGCTTTTTTTTTTATGTTCTCTGTGCTGTTGCAGTAGTGAGGAAAACGTTTTTTAGGTGAAATGCTGTGAACAAAATTGGTGTAGGCACAGGAGAGTGTGGGTGGATCTGATCAGTGCTGAGGGGGGGTGAGGAGCGAGGGGGCCTCCGGGACGCCAGAACCTAATGCTGAGCCTTCTGAAGGTGTTGTAGGCTAAATTCAAGAGGCACATCTTTTCTGTGGGAGGTTGTATAAATGAAATGCCCGTAATGAAAAGTTTGGATATAGAGAACTGGTTCGGAACTATTGAAATATTCGCCTTGGATTTGGTTAAATAATAAGTCTCTCAATCATGTCATAAATGTAGAAAAAAACACAATCCAAGCCATAAAGAGGGGGCAAACTCTCAAATACTGACAAAAAAGGTGAAATGTTCAAATGTAAAGACTGCATGTAAACAGTTTAATGTTAAAACGTGGTCTAACTCTAACACGACAGATAACTGGATAAGAATGCAGGAGTTGTAATGCCATAATGGTCAATGATCAGCTGATAGAAAAGCACCAAGCACACGTAGGAAAAAGTCTGAAACTAAAAAACATTTGTCTTTATTGCTTACACAATTGAGTTAGGTTACTTTTCACTTTCAATTACATAAATAACTCAAATAGAGTGCAGAGCTCGGCCAAGGCCAATGTCTCATTCAGGTTCTCTGGGAAATTGGTATTACCAATATACCCGTTTTCCAGTCATTTGCCCAACAGGATTGCAATACAAATGCCGTACCTCGCATTGAGATTGAAATAAAATTAAAACATGAAACTTCATGTCAACAGATATTTTCACAACCCTGAATCCAATCACCTATGAAACGTTCTTATCTTACCGAGAAGTAGCGCACCCCCACTGGGTCCTGGAGGAGGCGTTCGAAGCAGGCGGCCCAGCTGGCCACTCTCTGCTCCGGGACCCCTCGCAGGCTGCCCGCTCCTGGAAGACTGCCATTACTGTTCAGGCTGCTCTGGCTGCAGCATCCCTGCAACTGGACTCCACTGTAGTCTGTGGGGTGGGGGGGCACAGTGTAAAGGTTAGAGGAGACATTAGGCGCGTTCACACCAAGTACTTTTCCCACAAAGGTTCCTGAGAACTCTTTAGTTCTCATTAACTAAGTACAGATCGCGTTCACACCGGAAATTAGTTCATGGGGGTGGATTGTGGATTAGGCAAATGAAGCCGCTGACGTCACTTCTTCTTCTTCTGCTTTGGGTTTACTGGCAGGCCGCAAACAACTTCACGGCGTATACTGCCGCCCAAAATCCCCGGAGTTACGGACTGGCTTCAGTAGAAGCTGCTGGGACTCCCAGCAGCTTCTACTGAAGCCTTCCGAGTAAACGGCTAGAACGCCGACACCTCCTCATCTCCACCGCTCCCATGTTTTATTTTGTGTTGACATAAATTAGTCTCTCTGCGTTTCTGCGCTGGGCTAATGCTAATAATGCTAATAAAATGGCGGCTTCACAAACGTTTTTGGGAGTTTAACGGGGGTTGGTTTGCATTCCGCCCAGCCAATCAGAAACAGGAACCTTTTTCTCCCACGAAAGTCCCTGCTCTCTAGCAGGGACTGAAAAGGGGGTAAAAAAGGTTCTCTAGAACTAATTTAGTTCCTGGGACTTTTTGGTGTGAACGCAACTAAATCATAGTCCTCAGGAACCTTTGTGAGAAAAGTACTTGGTGTGAACGCGCCTAAAGAGTGATTCAAGCCAAAGGGAAATTAAAGCCTCTTTAACCTAAATATCCTGACGATTTTGGCATTGGTGTGTTTTTTGTCCCAAATAATTATGCAATTTTCCTCCCTGTCTGTATTGACTGTATATCATGTGTTTCTGATGCACTATGTCATCATAGTTTTAATGTTTTTTTGTGACCGTGTTCTTAAAATGCACTTTATAAATCAACTTGCCTTGTCTTTTGGGAATTTTTATATTTCCCAGGAGGCAGATTGAATTAATTTAATCTGTTGAGGAGAACAGAGCTATTGTGAAGACTTGTATAAACATTTTCTAAGAAACCAACAAAGACTTTTGGTATTGGTACATTTTTTGAAAAGACTCTTAACAAAATTAGGCATGTCTGACTTGAAAGCACAATAAACAGCAATTGTGTTACAATGGAACATTATTAGAAGTGTGTTAGTTTCACTACAGGCAACTATTATACATAAAACTCTTACTAGTCTTTTCAACAAATTGCGGGAAAAGACAAATATGTAATAAAAGTGTTATCAGAATTAGAATACCTTTATTAGTCCCACACAGGGGAACTGTACGTAGTTACAGCAGACAAAAGATCCACAGACAGCTTAATGTTACATATGTTACATGCATTAAAAGGTACTAAGTTATGATATAATTAAAAATATAAAAATGTAATAAAAAAATAAAAGTTACATAATTTTCAAAATACACATCCTGTAACAGTTCTTAGGATTTAGCAGCCAGGTATATATCCCGTTGAGTTGAAAGAGGGAAGATCTTTAACAAAAGGATCTAGCCATAATGGGGAGTCAAGAGGTGCCCTACATCTGCGGCAAACACAATTACAATGTGAAAAGGGATGAGAGAATACGATAAATGTCAAGGGAAAGCTAATGGGTCTTTTACTGTAACCTTTGCTACTGCTCTCACTGGCGAATGTGAACACACTAAGTGAATGTCAAAATATGTTATGTGGGAAGTGGGATCTGATTACAGTGGAGAAGGAGCAGATGTCACTCAGTTGGTAAAAGAAAGGGCAGAGAGGACCGGGAGCGGAATAAAAGACGAAGAAAGAGAGGACACATGGATAATTAAAAGGAAGACAATGAGGGAGAGTGGTGAGGGGCTGCTGGTCATCTAAAGTGGGGGCTTTGACCCTCACAGTACGTGCTATCATGACGGCAGATGGCCACTTTAGGGCTGTGGGCAGGCACAGTAAAAACAAAACACAAATGCCCCTTTCACACCAACGCGTTTTCAGCTCCGGCTCGGAGCTGGAGCCTGAAAAGTACCGTTTTTTCCTGTTCACACCGCAGCGGCGCCGCCTCTTAGCTCCGGAATTCGGTTCACTTCCAGCTCCAAAAATTGTCGGCCTAGAAGCAAGAGCTTCGGAGCTAAGAGGCGGCGTCGCTTACGTCTCTCTTAGGTCGAGGCGTGCAGGAAACTAAATCCACCTCCCCTGAACATGGGTCGACTGAAGAGTCTCGTCATGCCTGCCTACAAGCAGTCGCGCTGAGCAAAGTGACTAGAAGGCAACCACACATTTATAAAAAAAACACACACTTTATAAAGTCAGGCAACACTAACCAGGCTTCGTGTGATTCTGTTTATTTGTACCTTACTTTGACCATCCGTTCGCTGTTATTGATCATTGTGGAGAGAGGCAGACGTTTTGTTTTTTATTATAGCAGCTATCGGATGGAATCCATACATGGGCTGCACAGGTTGAAAAGTATAAGGTTGGAGAAGTCGTTATTTAATTTAATCTGGCTTTGCTTTAAAAGCAACACGATCATCGACCCAACGCAGTCCCCCGTTGTTGTTGTTGTTGTTGTGAGCGCCGTTGGGGAGCAAATCAGCGATGTAAACGGTGACGTCATGACGCAGCAGTACCATCCCGGCTCTGAGTGGTGTGAACAAAGCGGGAGCAGAAAAGGGAAACCGGAGCTGAACCAGAAAAGCTCTAGCTCGGAGCTAGAAAGGGAAAAGCGCTGGTGTGAAAGCCGCAAAAGAGGGTCACAGTGTGATTTCTTACAGATGCTTGCTGTTGTTATTCTGCTCAGAGTTAACTGGTTAGCATGGGCAACTGGTGTTAGCACTGTATCTCTGATGTGGAGAACAGAAAGGCTAGTGGGGTCAAATAAGGTCCGGTCGTCATCTTCCTTCCACACAGGATGTAGGATGGGTTTACAACAGTGGTGAAAGAAGTACCAAATAATAATCGAGTAATACCAACATGTTAATTACTCGATTATAGATAAACTTCCTGCATTTCAAGTCTTATTGTAGTGAAGTACAAAAGTATTATCATCAAAATATACCAAAAGTAAAAGCATTTGTTCGGCGTAATGGCCCATTTTCACTACCATATTAATTAATGGATTATGATTATTGGTAGAGCTAACTGCTTTGTATACTGCTGCTGAATATCCTAACCTATACAAATAAATATATTTGTAAAAAAGTACAATATTGGTTTCCAAAATGTATTGGAGTAAAAGTTTAGAGTAAAAAATTAAAATCAAGTACAAGTGCTTGAGTACTGTATTGTATTACATTCCACCACTGATTTAATAGGTGTACTTAAACTGTAACAAAAAATAAGTAATTTACATAGTACATGATGTTGTTTCAGTAATTCAGCTTATTAGTAAGGTGGCATCTGTATCAGCTGCACTTAGTCAAATGTAATCATCATCCTATATCTGGTACATATCCATGATTATTTTGCATAATGATTTAACAATTATAAAAATACACGTGCCAGTTCCAATGGCTTAATACTCTTCAGAAATAATGAGTTGACGTGTCATTAAAATTGCAAACGCTTTACATAAAGTCTGAGAATCTGAGAGACTGAGGGATTTTCAGGAGAAAGGCCAAATGTCTGATTCCCCCCCCGCCCCCCCTCTGCAAGTCCCCATCCTAAAATGTGCTGACAGGCCAGTTGTTTGGTCTCGGTTTACTGTATTAGGTCTGAGGCTTTGGCAGCCGTGTTTACCACATTGTGTGCCGCTCAGTTAATGAGAAGGCTTTGGAAAGCAAACAGCCATCCGTCCCTAGTGAAAGGAACGGGCTACCCTCCTCACCGTGGACTCGCTCAGCCTGTTAGCAAATGTTATTAAAGACCGCTATGAAAGGGAGGACCAGACATCTAGCTCCGGCGCTAACCCCGAAACACGCTCAGCAAACATCCTTTGTTAATGAGGCATGCTCCCTGCAGTGAGCACATCACCACGTCTTTTTATTAGAACATTTTATTAAGCGACTACAAAGCTGAGGGTAGAAGCAGAAAATAGGGAATAAAAAAGCAGACGGTGGACCAAGATCAGAAAGTTCCTATGTGTCGGGATGATTAAGAGCTTGAAATCTTGGTTCTCTTGTGAGTTCATTCTTTACATTTTAAGAGTTTCACTTACATATCTGACATAATTTTTGATTAGCATGAGTGTTTAAAAGTAGTAATAAGGGAATTGTACTCACCACCATCTGAGGAAGCAGCAGACTGAAAGAGAACAAAGAGAGACATGAGTGAAAGGCTGCCCTCATGACCTCCTTCGCTGAGACCATAGACTGAAGATAGCAGCGTCTCTGCAGGCATCCCAACAGTCCTTCTGAGGTGTGTGTCTTTGTGGTGTGTGTGTGTGTGTGTGCTACTGGGAAAGGGTTGGATCTTGGGTCCTTACACAGGCCCATTAATTTGTAAGAGGGTGGACCCCAGGGTTCTCTAGCACACACAGCTGTTCACACCTCCACACCAGGACCCACCCTTCACTTTATATCACCCCTCACAAACACACAGGCCTGAATGTGTGCATTCCTGCTAACTGCAGTCACAAAGCTCAGAGCCCATCAAGGCAGAGCCACTTGAGAGGCCATCAGTGGCTGTAATGCTCCTCTTTTCACTTGCTAATTTAGGCGATGGCTGCTTTATGCATGTGTCCCTGAAAAGAAGCCCAAGCCTCCCCCGTGGACTTGGACATTTCACAGTGGCAACTTCCCATTATTGGGTGTAATTACAACAAAAGGCATGAAGCTGAATACACCCCCCTCCATGTCAGCGCTTTTGAAGGGTCAACAAATATTTACATGGCAATACTTCAATTTGAAACCCATGCCTCAGCAGTGGGCTTCTCGAAAAATGTGTCAGCATCATTTTTGGTAAATGCTAATAAAGAGAGAGTTACAGCCTTGACTGTGGAGCCGTTGTCACAAATATTTTTAAATGCAGGGGAGGATATGAGAGGCGCATCTTAGGGTTCGGTCCAAGAACACTTGATAAATCGGTGCGTTGGAGGATTCATCTGAATAGGGGAGACTATTTCCAGAAGAGTGCTTTCTGAAGCTGCCACTTCAAAGTGTGAATATCCAAGGCGGATAATACGTCTAAACAAGGCTCTTATTGCCAGGCTGTGTGAGCAGTAAACACAGTTTGTACTTCAGTGGAATTGCATAATACTGGACTGTAAAGCTGAAAAATCAGAGAACAATGAAACAAAACTTTTGCACCCTGCTGAGCGGGCCTGTCACGATTAATTACGTTAGCAACTTATCGAAACAATTGAACTTTTTACACAATCTTAATACTGTATATGGTGTTTACATGCCAGATTATTTACATCTGAATATGATCCAGCTTTTAGTTAACAACATGGTAGATTGAACAGCAGGGTTTCCCCTACTTTTACAAGATTTGGTAACTGAGTTAGGAGTCCTTTTTATTTTTTGCTTGTGTGGTTTTAATGGTTTTGTATATTCATTCAGGGTATAAAAACAAACTAATTTTCAAATATGAATGTTTGAAAATATTATTTTATTCAGTTCAAGTGAATTGTCCTTAGAAAGGGTGTACTTGTATTATTTCTTGCATTAACGTTATCATTATATCATTTTCTTAAAATGTCGTGAAAAACATTTGTGGCATTTTTAATTTTCCTGTCGGATTTAATTCAAAGTATCATTTCCAAATTTGCTGTGAGTTGAATGAGTACAGCTTGATCAAACAGCCACAGAATAAGCTCAGACATATTGTGGACTAGCCCATTCTTTATAGTTTTTGTTGATGCATTCTGAAGCCAGTTAACTTGACCGCGGTCCTGTGCCCTGACGTGATGCTTGGTTCCATTTTGGGAGTGACCACATGTAAAAAGCTCTATCAGACAATGACCACGTAACCACTAATTGTCTGTCGCAGCCTCTTTACAACTAGTCCAACCCCATGTAGTCAACACCCAAAAGCCACCTCTTCAGTGGTGGCTAGCATGTGGACAGTAATCATGGGCGGGTATGGATGAGGACCAACATGAAGCTGAAGCAGAAAAGAAAGAAAACAGAGAACACCCACTCCATCTGTCTGCTGCTTTTGGTCTAAAAACGGCTAAACCTCAACCCTTAAATATATAGAGGGAGACCGACATCACACAATGTGACGTAGACTTCGGTTTTAAACAAAAGCTCCCAGCTGAAACTTTGGAAATGAAAACTGGTCATTTGAGGAGTCAACTACTTTTCAAATGTCCCAAATGGAGAGATGTTACTTCTGGTATGACAAATATAATAGACATCCGCTTCCTGTTAGCAGAAGCTCCTCTTAATCCCAGTTAGGAAACAAGTGGGAGAGTTCCAATAAATCTCAATGAATGCCTTCTTGACACACAGATGACGATCCATCTCATGCTGATGTCAGAGGAAATATATGTTGATGACAAATATGTTATAGGTGGCGTAAGCAGACAACAGTATCTATGAAAATGTTGCTAAATCCTGCAACTACAATGACTGATAGCTAAATACATTTATCAGATTTAGTTGAATTCTATTAGCAATTTTAAAATGGTGTCAACTTCTGATTATTTACATTGTTGAAATTGAAAGTACCGGTTATGTTAATTTAAGTACATCTAGTGGTTGTTTTTTTAAAGAGAGAAAAGTAGCAAATATTCACATTTGATAAGCTGGAAATGACAAATGTTTTTGCTTAGAAGTTATTTGAATAATACAATATTAAAGTTGTTCTTGGTCAATATTTACATGAACTGATATAATAATGACACGTCTCGTTTGTAATAGTTGACCTGGTTGGTTGGTGTGTGTATGAGCCAGCAGGGGTTAGACCACACACACCACTCGTTATTACTTCCTTGCCCAAAAGTTTCCTACAGTGAAGCTGCAGTGATGACCCAGGCCCTCCGTCACCTCTTGTCCACACAACCCCTTCCTCTGTTGACACCTCTTCTGACGATCTGCTCCACCATGGGTGGCTTTGCTGTACTGCCGACCCTCTTTGATCCTTTTCTCTCAAAGCTGAATTGCAAAGATCCCATTTCCCAGCTGGAATCCTTCTGAAAGCTGCCCACGTTGGGTTGTTATCAACCAAATGGACAAAGTCACAGTGAGTACCTTGGCTCCAAACGAGCAGGATTTGGCTTTCGGGTTGGAAAACGCTCTGCTAGCTTTCCTGTGGTACAGCCCCCACGCCGCACAGTCTGGCATCTCGAGACACCACATGCTGAAGGAACGTAGATGATCCCACCAAGACATATTCATGATGATCTGAAGTGAGCCACCGCAAGAAAACAAACTTTCACCGGTGTGAAATCAGTTGAAGGATAAGCCACGTTCATACAAATGTTAATGTCCCCCATTAACATCTCTCACAGACTGTAAATCAGAACCTTTAAACCTGATTTCTGTCATCTGTTGGGCTTGTTTAGGCTTGTTGCTTCCATTAAAAACTTTTTTGAGATGAACCCTGCTCACACAACAGTCGGATATTCAGAAACTTAACTTTTGCAGAAGTCAAGGCTGATTCTAGCACCCCGCAAACAAACAACCACGAGTCCCTGCCGCTTCAAACAGCTGTTCAGAGTGGGAGAGAAGACGAGCGACAAAGAGGGAGATTAATGAGAAAAGCAGCTGAGTGAACCAAAGGAGTCTCCCCGCTTAATACAGAGGAGGCACGCTCGGCAAACCACAGTTTACTTACAGTGTTGAAGTTCCAATTCCTCTTGAAGGAAAGTCTCTTTTTGAGACTCATTGTTCCCTAGTCTGCTACACCAGAAGCACACCGACAGATTATGTGTGTGTGAACGCATACCTGAACATTCCCCACCCAAAACTCTGCAAACCATGTCTGAACAAGTCGAAGAGAGGGGAAGAGAGGGAGGAGGGAGAGAGAAAGAGGAAGAGATTTGACAAGGTACTAGACAGAAAGAGGAGAAGGAGGGGGCTGAGATGGAGGAAAGAAAGATTTCCTTACGCCGCGGCTGTTGCCATGGCAATGCGCCTGACAATACATACAGCCTCTGCCACATTGGCATGAAGGAATCAGATGAATTAATCCCCCCCTCTTTTGATTCCCTTCACAAGACACACACACTGGCCATGTCAAAACCACACTGGCCTTCCCCCCTTCTTTTGTTTCCAGTTGGGGCACTCTCCCTTTGCTTGAAAGAGAGGAGAAATAGCTAGTCTGATCAAATGGAAACCAGATGAATTTTCTTCAATCAAAATAAAAGTTTGGTAGCCCATGACTTGAACTCTGAGTTCCATTATCCGCTGCTACTCACTCCCCCAACTTTAATCAAGTCAATTTGTGTTTTCTGCAAAGCAATTTAGCTCATGTACCGGCAGAAATGATTCTGGCATCAGTGTCCGCTGCCGCGCTGTGCCTCCACATTTCTCGCAAAATCTCTACAATCAGACTGTTTTTGGACCGACTGTTATTCTTCAAGCATTGGTGGTTCATTCTGAGGTTTCCCCGTGGCACAAGAGCTAGCATTCTTTGGACTACGTTTTGCCGTAAATAATGGATGCGATGCAGTGTTTATTAACAGTTGGTTTCATGGTACATTTATCCGGTTTAATTGGATTTTCCCATGATCTATCACTTTGTAAATTGCGTGTTTATCAGATGTGTATGGGCTGTGTTGATTACTCGAACGGTGCAATGACTAGGCTTGGGAGATTGCGGGTGGTTTTTTGGGGCGAATTAAACCAAAGATTCTGGAGTGTTGAAGCGGGCCCATTGGCAGGTCATGGGGTTGCTGCTTTTGCTGCCATAATGGTCCTTCCCAAATAGGGGTTTGGTATTCTTTTTTTCGCAACAAGCCTTCCAATGATTGCATTTACTGAATTTGTCGTGTGGGGATTTTAACCGTAACTTAAGCTATAACCGACAACTTTTTAACCCCCTCAGGAGGGAATTGTTTCCATTTATGTGAAAGCACTAAATGGAGTGATAGAAAATGACTCCATTAGGTTGCAGCAATATATCTAATACCACTGTACTATATACAAATGCATAAATAACGACACATATATGGAAAGCCTCTCCTCAAACAAAACATGTGTGAAGATTCAGCCTATGCTGCCTGTGAGTGTGATTTTAGTTATCATAAAGTAAGACAATTAAGTAAACAACCTTCGCAAATCTACTGTTAGTCAGTTGTAATTAAGTCAAAGAAGGAGCTGAGCTAAAGACAAACTGAACATGCCCTTAAATGA